GGGGGGGGGGGGGGGGGGGGGGGGGGGGGGGGGGGGGGGGGGAAGATTGAGAGAAAGGAGTATAGAGGAAAGGAATACGGTCCCTCGGGGTCCAGAGCCGAAAGGGTCTGAGCACCTTGCTGGCCCCCTCTCCAAGCAAGGGGCACTTTGAGCTGCAAGCTCTCTATGAAACTGGGGTTGTGGATAGAGTGAGGATCCGGAGCCCCTGGCCCATACGACCCACTCTCCCCAGACCCTCTCATCTTCTCCTGTGCCCCTGGACGACTCCCTCCTTTCTCAGTTCCCCCACCCGGGTCTCTACCTACCCCCGGTTTTGAGATCTGCCAACAGGATCCGGGGTCCAGGCGCTTGGGGCTGCTGTCCAAAAGCTGGGGCCGCTCTCTTGCCCAGGCCGTTCCAGCCTCTTGCTCCGCCTTCCCTGGCTCCTCCCTGCGCTGCCGCCGTCTGCAGCGTGTGGGTGGAGGAGAAAGAGATGAACTGAACGCTAGGAGGTAGATCTGATCCCCTCGGTCTATGGCGCCGCCCCTATAGCTCGCCCCATCTTTCTTCCCTGGCCATCTTCGAAAGAGCTTTCACCCGTATTCTCTGCCCTCTGTCCCTCACTCATCACCTCATCCCCAGGGACGCTCCTGCCTCACAATACTCTTCCCCCACCTTCTCTCACATCTGGCCCCAGAAAGCCCGATTTCTTCAAGCCTTTCCTCAGCTCACTTGGGTCAGGCTGACCCAAGAACAGAATCTAATGTTATCAAGGCCGCTCCTAGTTATGTATGTTTGTATGGGGGAAGGGGCGTGGGGAGGGGCGTCTTAAGGGAAAAGAACCATGTATAATTCTTAGTGAAAAGATGGAAGAGAGACCGTGGAGAAGGGCTTGAAAAGAGAGTCCCTGGGGGCAGGTGAATGTGTGCATTGAGGTGTGAATGGAGTGAATGTGAGGAAAGGTCGACAAGGCATGTATGTGGTGATAGGATGGAGGTAGAGAAGCATCCTTAGAGCAGGTGGATATGTGGATGTGAGTGGAGGGGGTGCGACAGTATTGTGGAGGGATGGATAGAATAATGTTCTGGGGAGGGAAGTGGGCAGGGAGGGTGCCAGGAGCTGGAGTGTATGGGGGGGGGGCGGCGTAGAAAAGGAATGTAGTGTCTGGGAAGACGTCCAGAATATGTGTCAGGAAAGTTGAGGAGGGTCCCTCCCACCAAGGATGTTTGGTCACGTACAGAGGTACACAGGGACTAAAGAGGGGAGGGACGGGGGGGGGGTGTCAGAGGGAAAGGAGAATTTAGATGGAAGACATCGTGGAGGTAAGTAAAACCAACAACACTGGCGTCCTTAGAGAGCACGTGGGTGCATTTGGGAAGGAATCCTGGAGATACAAAGATTACTCCAAGCTGTAGTCTTGGGAAGGAGGCCACCAGCAGGAGTGTAAATTTTCAGTGTGAACATTTACACCTGGAAATCGGCAAACACTACTGCAAATCAGGACTCCATGTTTTGTTGACTGTCTAGACTTAAGAAAGTGATAGCAAACCTAAAAGTATGTCCTATGTACATTTTTTTCCTGAGATCCAGTTGTAAAATATTCAGCAGCACACATCTGAATTAGTATCCCTAAGCTCACAGAAGTTAGCTTCTAAAAGGGAGAAATAGGAGCAACCAGTAAAGATAAATCCTCCAAACTTGGGGTTGGCACTACATAGAATCCCTGAGGTAGAGGAGACCTCAAAGGTCATTGAGTTCAACACCTACCTGAGCAGTGAGCCTCACTACCCCGAGTTTGAGCAGCTCTGCCTTACTTAAATCCAATTGACAGCGAGTCAAAACATTACCCTTGTGATGTCATTGGTCCTCTTCCAGAACAAAGCATGATCAACTCACTGATGGTTATTCTTCCCCAACTTGAATGTTTTTATTAACATGGAATTTTTTCTCTCCCAAGGCAACTCATTTTACTTTATGAATGGCTCTAATTGTTAAGAAGATTTCATACATTTTTTTGCCACTGCTACTGACCACTTCCACTTCTGTCCCTTAGAATGACCAAAACAAGTTTAATCCCTCTCCCCCATGATAGCCCTTCAAATACTTATGTGCCCCCCTCATCCTTCCTCTACACCCCTCTTCCCAAAGTTCCCATCCTGGCTAACTGCCTCCCTGGGTAATACTGGAAAGTCCAGATCTCTTTGGTTTCTAAGTTTCTAAAAAACTAAGTTTTTTTTTAAAAGAACTTTTCCAGAATTTTTAAAGCCAATAGCAATATTAATGATAAATGGAAGCAAAGACAGCACAAATATCAGCTGTGTTTTAATCCTAGAACACAGCAATGGAGAGAGACAGAGAGAGAGATTCTTAATATGCTCATAACAAATTACAATATTCTAGGTTTAGATGGACCAGAGCAAAGTACAATAGGATCATCACTTTCCTAATCTAGACACTATGTTCCTCTCTTAATCCCTACTTGCACTGGTGGGTCAGGTCCCCAGAGTTTCTTGTCCCCTTAGGACTCTAGAGTATGTAGTGAGTATCTTTCTAATGCTTTCTAATTCTATGTAGCTCATATATAGCTCACTGATATGCTACCTCCATTTTTATCAGTTGTTATCGACTAGACAGCCAGGATTAATTAGCTTTTAAAAGGAGTATTATACTAACGTGCTATAGGAAGAACAGTTGGTACAAACCATTCCCTGAAAAGTCTATGACATACACTCCTAACAGTACATACAAAGTCCAGGGGAAAGTGGGCTCAAACTTACAGAGCACATGTGCATAGCTTATATCCTGCAATTCTTGTAAGTCCTTTACCTGGGATTCTCAAGATGTTCCCCTTAGTAAAGGTGTAATTTTCTTTTTTTTTTTAATTAATGAATTAATTAATTTTTGGTTACTTTTTGAGTTCCAAATTGTCTCCCTCCCTCCCTCTCAACTCTACATTGGAGAAGGTCAACATTTGATATAGATATATATGTGGAGCCATATAACACATACTTCCATACATGTAATTTTTCTGGAGGTGGATAGCATTTTCCTTCATAAGTCCTTCACAGCTGATTTGAATGATTATATTACTCAGAATAGCTTAGTCATTCACAGTCATTCTTTGAACAATATTGTTGTTACAACATTCTCTTGGTTCTGCTCATTTCACTCGACATTATTTTATGCAAGTCTTTCCATGTTTTTCTGAAAACAACCTGCCCATTATTTCTTACAGCACAGTAGTATTTCATCACAATCATTTACCACAACTTATTCATCCATTCCCCAATTGATGGGCATCACTTCAATTTTCAATACTTCACTACCACAAAGAAAGCTGCTATAAATTTTTTAGAACATACAGATTCTTTTCCTTTTTTCCTGATCACCTTGGGAAATAGACCTAGTAGTGGTATTACTGGGTCAAATGGCACACATAGCTTTATAACTCTTTGGGCATAATTCCAAATTGCTCTCCAAAATGATTGGATCCGTTCACAATTCAACAAATAGTGTATTAATATCCCAATTTTTCCACATCCCCTCCAGCATTTGACATTTTCCCTTTCTGTCATTTTAGCCAATCTGATAGGTGTGAGATGGTACCTCAGAGTTGTTTTGATTTGAATTTCTCAAATCAACAACGATTTGGAGCATTTTTCCATATGATTATATATGGCTTTGATTTCTTCTTCCAAAAACTGCCTGTTCATATCCTTTGACCATTTCTCAACTGGGGAATGACTCGTGGTCTTATAAATTTGATTCAGTTCTCTATATATCTGAGATATGAGGTCTTTTATCTGAGAAACTAGCTATAATTTTTTCTTTTTTTAATTAATTTATTTTGATTTATCAACAATCACTTCCATAAGCTTTTGAGTTTTAAATTTTTCTCCTCTTCCCTTTTCACCTCCCTCCCCAAGATGGCACGCAATCTGATTTGGCTTTACATATACATTCTTATTAAACATATTTTCACATTAGTGATGTTGTAAGGAAGAATTAGAACCAATAGGAGGAACCACCAGAAAGAGAAAACAAAACAAAACAGAAGAAAAAAATAGCAAATAGTATGTTTCAATCTGCATTCACACTCCATAGTACTTTCTTTGGATGGGGATAGCATTTTCCATCATGAGGCTTGTGGAGATGTCTTAGATCCTTGTGAGAAGGGTTAAATCTATCAGTATTAGTCATTGAACAACATAGCTGTTAAAGTGTACAATGTTCTCCTGGTTCTGCTCACTTCACTCAGCATCAGACCATACAAGTCTTTCCAGATTTTTCTGAAGTCTGCCTGCTCATCATTTCTTATAGCACAATAGTATTCCATTACATTCATATACCACAACTTGTTCAGCCATTCCCCAGTTGATGAGCATACCCTTAATTTCCAATTCCACCACAAAAAGAGCTGCAATAAACATTTTTATACATGTTGGTCCTTTTCCCATTTGTATGATCTCTTTGGGATACTAGCTATAAATTTTTCCCCAAATTTTCTGCTTTTCTTCTAATCTTTGCTACATTGATTTTATTTATTAAAAAAACCTTTTTAATTTAATATAATAAAAATTATCCATTTTATATCCCACAATGCTCTCCATTTATTCATAAATTCTTCTCTTAACCATAAATCTGATAGGTAATATGCTCCATGTTCCTCTAATTTACTTATGATATGTCTCTTTATGTCCAGGTTATGCATCTATTTTGATTTTATTTTGGTTAACAGTGTAAGATATTGATCTATACTTAATTTCTGCCAAACTGCTTTTCAGTTTTCCCAGGAGTTTTTACCAAACAGTGAATTCTTATCCCAAAAGCCTTAATCTTTGCATTTATCAAACACAAGGTTACTGCAGTAATTTACTACTGTATACTAGACAGTATAATCCAAATCAATTTTCCTTGATAATTTTTTGAAGCATAGAATGTCTAGACTCTTCTAGACTATATGAATGTCTAGACTCTTCTTTTGATCATGATTTTCAGGTAGTCCAACAATTCTTATATTACATCTCTCCTTGATCTGTTTTCTAGATCAGTTATTTTTCTAACAAGATATTTTATGTTCTCTTCTATTTTTTCATTCTTTTGATTTTATATTATTATTTCTTGATGTCTTGTGAAGTCATTAGCTTCACCTTGCCCAATTTTAATTTTTAATGAATTATTTTCTTGGGGCAGTTAGGTGGCGCAGTGGATAGAGCACTGAGCCTGAAGTCAGGAAGACCTGAGTTCAAATTAGGCCTTAGACCAAACACTTGACACTTACTACCTGTGTGACCCTGGGCAAGTCACTTAACCCCAATTGCCTTAAAAAAAAGTGAATTATTTTTTCAGTAAGTTTTTGGACCTCTTTTTCCAATTGTTCATAATTTTCTTGTATTATTCATA